ACCCCCCCCCCCCCCCCAATGTTGTTGATGGCTTCGCGACGTCCCTGACAAAATTCCTTGCCATTTCCTTGTAAATTTTATTTCCTTGCATTTTTCCTTGCACGGAAAAAAGGAAACCTTTAAATTAAAGGAACTTTAAACAATTTCCTTTTGCAAGGAAATTTCCCTTGCAAATGGAAGCACTGACTGTTCATAATTCAAAACGCACGTGCACCACAAGTTACAAATATGGCCTCAGAAGGTGAGTAAAAACATCGAAAATTGTAAAGTGTGTAAATCTCTGGTTGCTGTGAGTATGTTTGTGCCCTCATATATACAGTATATAAAGTAGTAGCTTTGCTTTATATCTTCCAATACGTTCCTAATCATGTGTTACTCAGCATTGCTCAGGTAAACATGGACTTTTGAGCGTGTATTATATAGCAATTTTATAGGTTTGTATTAACCAATTATTTAATACTGAAATATATATACTTCTACTTTTTTTAAAACAATAAATGCTTTGGCTGCCTAGATTGTTTTCCCTGTGTTGCAAACTTGGTGGATGTATCCCCTAATATTCCTTGTTTATGATACTTTATATTGCACTCGAGTGCCTCGACAGCAGTGGGCCATTCCCCCCCCCCCCCCTATGGACGAGCTCAATAAAATTTGAACCCCTAAGAAAAAAGATCAAAGTGCCGACACAAACACTTCCCCAGAAATTAAGAAATTTTGGCCTTACCCCTCAGAAAAAACGCAAAGATCAAAGGATGCTGATGCACACAACCCCTCAGAAATGGCTTTTTCAAACCCCCTCAGAAATTCTCGTCCATAGGAGGGTGTGTATATTAAATGGAATGGCCTGTGGTTCCGCCAGGGGGGGATTTAATTTGTGAGTCACAATACCAGGTGCCCGGGATTTGACTTGCAAAATCCTCTCGGTTAAAAACCCTAACCACCCCCAACAAATGTTTCAAACCCTGTAGCAGGGAATCATGAGTATTCAAAATATAATAAGTTTGCATTTGAGACAGCGAAGTTATCCCACTCTAATCATTCTTTCGGGGGGCTCCACAGCTCCGCTCGCCCCACTTTCATCCCTGTTCCACACTGCAGAAAGGTAAGAGTTTTTTAAAGTAGATAGGGAGATCTGGGGGTCCTCCCCCAGAAAATTGTTATATTTTGATGTTCAATAACTGCATTTATGGAGCATCCACAATGGAAACGACAAACATATTTTAAGGTTCTCTTTTTTTTTAGATTGGTAATTGCACAATTCGATTTTGAACTGCATATTTTCCAGCCCTTCCCCAATGTTTTATTGAATTTGAATGAATCTAAAACTACACTCTGAATTAACCCCTTCATTCTGCAAATTAATATACATTTGTTATTATTAATATTACTTTGTTCAATGTCTTTGTTTTACTGCAAACATAAAAGCATTTGAACATTACACAGGTTGAAGGGCAAAAGTGTGCATAAAAAGTGTTCTATAATTATCTCGTTAAATTGCATTTTGTTACAAGTGAGGACACATTGGAATGCATTGCTTTGTGATGAAGGAAATCTCCTGAATTCTTAAGTGAAATGTTCTCCATACATTCCCTGCCTTATTTGTACACCGTAAAATGCTCACAATACTTACAGTACCTCCCATAATTTTTATCTCTCCATGGAAGTTGGAATGTCTTCATGCACCCCCTGAATGTATGTAGTCTGTATGCCAGAGGGTATAACATACATCTTGGATAACAGCTCCAATGGCATGGTTCACATCTCTCAAGTACTATCAGCAGGGCTGTGAATGTGGGTCCCCACTCCATTTAGGATTCACGGTCCTGCTTTTCAGGAAATAAAATTGACATTTTAAAAGTCAGAAATAGTATTTTGTGTGCACCATAGTATTGGGTCGTTCCAGAAAAGTTCCACACACCCCCCACAGAGGAAATTTCTGCCGTCCGGAGGGGGAGGGGAGAAAAAATTGTTTCTAATAATAGTAAATGTATTCGAAGGGACATCCAAAGGGGGTGGTATGGATGTTTTCTGGAATGACCCATTGTCATATAATCATACTGTACTGATAATATATGACTGTATTTTTCATAGTCAAAGTTGAAACTAAGTCAAAGAAAAAGAGAAGGTCATCAGTTGATATTGGAGTAAGTGTCTCGATCTTCTATTACTGATGGAACATTAAACATGTACAGTAGTTAATTGTAGTTAATTGTTAAACATGTACAGTAGTTAACAGAGTGATTTCTACAATCATGGAGCTCAGATTAACCCATTTCGTGCAAGCACTCTCCTAATGATGAGTAAAATCACCTGACGTTAGACAGACTAAAATATTAAAGTACAGTAGTATGCAGGTGCATATATTGCAAATAATATAGGTAAACTAGACATATGGGCAGATATAATCTTGAATGGTCTGTGCCAGTGTAGTTAGTATGTGCCAATAATAACAAGCTTTTGTTGGTAGGGATGCAACTACTTGATAAATAAAAAGGGCCTTCGCTCGAAACGTTGAATTTCTCTTTTTATTTCTCAGGCAGTTGCATCCAATGAAAGCTTGTTATTATATGAGCAGATGGAGGAAATGGATTTTAGTTTAAACCACCCGTCTCTAGACTCCTACTGTAGTTCATTTTCTAAAGGGTCATGCCATTGATCACCTAGCTGGTTCTCACTTGTTCTTCAGCATTTAAATGTTACTACAGTATTACATGCCCATTGTAAAATTGTCATAAGCAGTTTCAGACTCGTTAGGTGCATGTGTAAATATGCCATATCTAGTCACGAGTCTGCTGAGTCAACTTACATTCTAATACTAGTAGTTGCTGTACATATTATTAATAATAATAATAATAACTACCAAATGTATATATAAATACAGTATATAGAATGGTTTTATTTGACCCAAATTCTAGCAGCCATTAGTAAATTTACTAAATAGTGTGAAAGTCATATTTATCTTGAATTCTTTATTTTACCTTTTCAGGCTGCCCAACATAGTGATGACTTTTCAATACCTCCAACCAAGAATCCGACAGCTCTTGACACATCTGAGTGGCCTCTGCTGCTCAAGGTAAAGTATTAATCATAAAATTTTGTTGACACTGACAGTATCTCACTGTATAGACCTGTACAATGTTGAAGGCAAAGCAGTTTTGCTCCTTACTCTATTTACTGAGTCTGCTTTATACTCTTGCTAAATCATGTGCTGTACCATGTCAGTCAGCAAGATATTGCCAATTGGAGGTATATATAACATATTCCACAGATGTCCTATATTGTATTGTTCAAAGGTGGGTTAGCGCTAACCCTTGGTTAACATTTAACCCACTGTTTTGGTTTGTGTATTTCTGTGTGTCTGTCTATTTCCAAACCTCAGTGAAGTAAACTCCTATTGATCCAGACAAGATTTCTGAAGAAACATTTAGTCCAAATTTATAAACAAGCTGTCAGAAAGTTTGCTTTGAATTTGAGGTTAACCTACATGTAGGGTTAAGCAAATTAATCGGCTTTCGAACAACCGGCCCCAGGCCATATACAGGCAGTACAGTATAACCTGCATGGTATTATAACCAAAGCTTAGAGCTGATGTTGCTCCAAATGCTATCTATGTGCACTGTTTTGCACATTGCATTTGAGCTTATCCGCCTTATCGTTAAAGATGCGATGAAACAACGCCCTTTGCTGTCAACATCGCTGGATCTTTGTCAAGCTATCTATGCGATTGTGGGTGCTTACCCCAAACGCATTCTGTTATTTGAAGAAATTCAGGAAGATTTCAAATACGAAAATTATAGTGATGAATATAAGGTCCTTCGACTCCAAAGCCTTTCCGCCACAAGATGGACAACAAGAGTCAAGGCAGCTGATGTTTTCTTTGATAAGACCATCGACATGCGCACAACTGTGGAAAAGCTAAAAGAAGATCCAAATATTTCTGGGACACCAAAACAAGGATCCGAGGTATTCTGAAGAAGCATACACTGTATGTCTTCGCTGCATGTCCTCTTCAATTTGAATGTGACGCGTGTTGCAAAAGTTTTCGAAGGAGTTCCGATTAAGCAGTCGATAAGTCCGCTGATTATGCTTTGTATTCTTTGCGGCTTATTTTACAAAAGTTGAATGAAATGCGTTGCGTCACAGAATTCGAGCGCATCCTCGATGAAGCCAAGAATGTGCCTGGGGTTGAAGAAAAGGCTAATCGTAGACAAAGGAAAATACCTAGATTGTTGAAATGTGTAGATAGCATACTGACGGAAAGGATTCCCACCACAGCAGATATTAAAAGCACTGATCACACGCGCCGATCATATTATGAGGTCATTGATGTATTGTGGAAAGTATTAACACAAGATTTGGGCAAAAAGGTCTGTCCTTGATCAAGATTATTGAGCAAATCCTGTTAAGATCCATTTTTGAAAGAGGATTTTCGATAGATAGTCTGACGCATGCCTTGATCGACAAAGAAAAGCTGAGAACTCAACTTGACGACCTGCCCACAATCCTTGGTCTTTACAACGTGGAGAATATCGCCGATATCTTCAACTCTCTGCCGTCTGCCAAGAAACAGTGCTCGGAAGTCCATATGATGATCAAGCTGTACTACAGTATACCATATCCCTCACATCGGCCTCCTGTGAACGCACATTCAGCGTAATGCGCCGACTTAAAATTGGCTGCGACCAAACACGGGAGCAAACCATTTGAATGACATTATGTTTGCAGTTTGCTAACATACAGAAGAGCGATATATGGGCAGGGTTAATATCAAATCAGTCGCTACTGAATTTGTTGAAAAGAATGACGCTAGAATAAACTATTACAAAATAGAGAGATGTTTAACATTTATCGCATATATAGTATTAATATCATTGGAAATCTGTTATGCTTGGCTTAGTGTCTTTACCTATTACCTATTTACTGGTATAGACCAGTGCCTGGCTATAGTAGCTGCATGGGTGACCATGGTGCCTGGTTGTATGATAGTTCGTGTGTCATAATATTAAATTTTATTACGAACGATTGTATAAAGTATGCATTAAGTTTTGCTTCATTGTTTCTGCTAAACACTAAAACACAGATTACAAGAATAAACTAAACTAACTGGTAGACAATTTGTCATATTGATAAAGGAAATTTCCAATTGCTTTCGTTCTGTATTACATGGAAATAATGATTTATTAAGCTAATTTCCAATTGCTTTCGTTCTAAAAGATAAAGCTAATTTAAAATGAAATAAAGTAAAAGATAAAGCTAATTTCCAGTTGCTTTCGTTCTGTAGTACCTATTTGTACATAGAAATAATGATTTATTAAGTTCCCATCAAAAGGGCGTGGCTACGAATTTTCTACCGACTGCCCTTCATGATCGCATTGCCCCTCCTGCCCTTTTATCGCTCCGGCGTCCCTGCTATTATTGCATTGCGTCCTAATGCGCCCCACTTCATTATTTTACACTGTCTAACACCAGTCATCAGATGAGTTTTACTTGTCAAGAGGAGAATGCTGGTGTTCAATGCAGGTTAAATCTGTACTAGTTTTAGTAAAACAGCTTTAGCAATACTTGCAAGTACAATATAAGTCATGCTAATAAAGCTTATCATTTATGGTGATGAAATACTGGAACATGGTACAGGTACACCTTATTCGTATAGTGAATTTCGTGTGACTTTAATTTTGCTATTTTCGCAATTGTAAAACACTCGCGAAATTAAAGTCGCGTGATTATCACTCACTGAGTGAACTCCTAGCCTTTAAATAAAATTTGTAGAACCATTTGAATATTGAGAAAAAGTCAAATTGTCTTTTGTTACATGACGTATTGTATAGTTATGAGTGCAGTGCACTAGATTTCAAGCAATTAAACTCTGGGCACCTGTCAATTAAGATCCAAAGACGGTAACGTTGTGAAGGTCTAAGAAAGGTTTGGCACTCCCGTCCTCTCTGCATAGATCTGCCCTTGACAAATTTGCGCGTTAAGCAATCTGACTTGAGTTAGGAAGCAATACTGTATTTACCTCTTCAATTTTACAGAATTTTGATCGTTTGAACTGTCGTACTGGACATTTTACTCCATTAACTTCTGGTTGTTCTCCATTGAAAAGAGATCTAAAGGATTATATCTCGTAAGTTCCGTATATCTGTAACTTATTTTCTCTTTTTGACGCTATGCTGTATTGTAAATCTTCTTTCTCCACCACGGCACCACCTTACTGTCTTATACATACATAAATTAAGATAACATATTAAGTTACAATATGACCTCATGCATCTCTAACGGTTGTACATGGTAACTGCTCTCCCTTTAGGAAAAAACTTTCCTATTTTTCCATTATGCCCCTACAGAAGAAAACGCTGGGAGGGTACCTGGTGATGACCTAGAGTCTTTGCCAGAGTCAAATTGGAAACACTCTCTCGTCCACAACTCCTCCCAACTCCAATAAACAGTTTCTTGCCGATCGGTGATCGGCTGTTATTTCGAGCCCTGGACTCATGGGAAGGTGTTGTCATCCGTTCTTGACATCTCCCAAACAACTTAATATATACTTTCCCTGATCTATATTAAATGTGTCGCACATTTTTCGCATTTCGTTTATATTCATGCAAATGTAATGAAACTCCTAAAAGCATCCTTTATCCTGCAGTGATATCCTAATTTCAATAATGAAACAGCACGGTATATCCACACCACACATGCAGAAAAGATTTAGAAAAGTTTTATAATTTATCCAAGTTGAGAATAGTTTAGCTTGTACAAATTTAACAAATTGGAAACCAGCATGGTGTGTTTCTTATACTGTTTTGCTTAGAATCAATTATTCCAGAAATTTCTCTTGTGTGTATTAACAGCGAAACATATTTTTTATAATTTATCTTAATTGGTGCTTTGTTATTTAAGGAGTGGATTCATCAACCTTGATAAACCTGCCAATCCTTCATCACATGAGGTAACACATCAATACAATACGAGTTGCTTCTAATGAGCCCGGTTACCGAGACGTCACGCCTTCTTATGACCTCGCCTTCCACTAATTTCACTATAAAAATTTGCATGGCGTTTGATATGAGGAAGCGTTCATATGATTTCCGCCTGACGAGATACGTCTTAGTCGGTAAGCCGAGACCATAGGTAGGCCGGATGAAAATTATCCATGTGAACACGCCAACCTGCTTACCGAGATAAAAGTCAAGAAACCATTAAATGTTTGCTGTTTAATTCAGCACTTAATTTCTACTTTGTTTTATGTTTGTTTTATAGACGTAGAAGTATTAATTATATCTTGCTAAACATTGCTTTTTTTGCAAACAAATGAAGAAAAACACCAAAATGTTAAATATTTGTGTTGCATGACTGAAATATACAAGCTTTGCAAGCGCTAATTGCACTACTTCATGTATATTGTAATTTCATCTCAGCACGCGGGATGAAGAATTTCATGTGAACGCACAGTATTCGTCCTGCTAGGCGAGACGTCTCGATAAGTGGGATCCTGTGAACAGCCTTTGACTTCAACATATTTCTGAAGGTGGTTGCATGGATCAAACGAATTCTTCGCGTAGAGAAGACAGGTCATAGTGGAACGTTAGATCCAAAGGTCACAGGTTGCCTAATTGTGTGCATTGATCGAGCTACCCGTCTGGTGAAGTCTCAGCAAGGGGCAGGTACTTAGTTACTTTTTATGTGTGATTGTGTTGGAGTAAGTAATGTATAAATAAGCTTATAAGAGCTTGGGGACTAAACCGGAGAAGTCATATCGGCCGAATACAGTATAATGACCGACACTTCGCGAAATATTGGGGAGGGGGGAGAATTTAGGTTCCCAAGTGGAGTTGTATAACACCCATTTGTTGCTGCAAATCTCAGTAGCATGCGGTATTCCAGTTGACATGACAAGTGTAGTTTGTCCGATTATTCCCACATGCAATTCTTGCGGGCTTATGTACAGTAGTTCATTTGCATTCATTTGAAAGTCAATTTCACTTAATTTGTTTGTCCTAAATTTGTGCTGTAAAATAACAACCTTAATGTACGCTATTCTTTGAACTTCATTGCCTTAAATTTCATGCAAATTTGCTGAATTTATAGCCCACCAATTCTTTCATGGTTGTCAAATTATGGTTACAGTTTTGTCACACAGTTATTGTGCTACCAATCAAAGGCTTTCAACAATTACAGTATCGTATAGAGAACCTATACAGTATCGTATAAAGAACGATTCTAATTAAATTCTAATTAATTTCTTGATTGGTATTTGAAACAGGAAAAGAATATGTTTGCATTGTCCGTCTTCATAATGCTATTGAAAATGAGGCAAAATTGGCACAGGTATAGAAAAAGCTTTTCATTACAGGACTTAATTTATACAGCAATTTGATTATGCACGCATATATACAGTATTAAATAGATTTGTTGCTGATCTCTACTTCTCTAATCCACAATATTGTCAATAACGCTCGAGGTAGGACGAAAATAGGGACCTGTCCACACTGGACCCAGAATCAATATTATACCGAAATAATTCGTCCCCAGTCGCCCATCTCTCGTTGAATGGTGGGAATGTATTAGCATTCTCATGGACCTTTGCGTCGTATTGTTCCAACCCGCAAACGCCCGCAGGCTACGTGATCGTAATTTTCGAAGCAAATTTGAAGGACTGTGGAATAGTCAGAAACAAGTCTAGAATGTAGATGGGATGTGGTTTTCGACAAAATTCCAAGAAATGTTAGCGCCTATGAAACGTGCTGCAATCTTCACTCTCATGTGATTTATTATACGTTTATTTGTAACATGTTTCATCTGGCGTATGTGTAACATAGTAGTAAATCCCAATATATTTTTTTCAGGTAATTGAGCAGTTAACTGGGGCGTTGTTTCAAAGACCGCCATTAATTTCGGCTGTTAAAAGACAACTGCGGATACGAACTATATATGAAAGCAAGCTTATCGAATTTGATACAGACCGTCATTTAGGTAACGGAATGGCTGTATTTTTGTATATTTTTATAAATCAATCGAATGTACATGTATTGTAGGGGCGAATATATAGGCGCTATAGATCCACCTATTTCCACTAGACTAGTGTAGAAATAATTTGTAATGATTATACATATTACCTGAATTTAGAGATTTTCAAATGTGCCCAAAGATGTTCTGTTTAGAACATTGAAAAGAAGCTTTTTTGCCTGTGATCTCGATCGCTGATAATATTTGTAATCAATCATTATTTGTAACTTTTGCAAAATACTTTGCTCTAAAATTTAAATTATTTATTAATATCAACCTTAATACGTTGTGGAATGAAAATGATATGTGATTTTACAGCTCTGGTTTTATTTACCCTCTAAAGACAACTCTGCTACAATGACTGGTCAATTCATGCATGAAACTCCATCATTACATGTAACACGCTCCGTTTCATAACATTACATGTTTGAGAGTGTCGTCCCATGAGCATTTTCTCCAACAATTTTTTTGAATATGTTGTATTTCTAATTACTGCGCGAGTCTGTACATGTGTCTTTGTTTTGCAGCTGTTTTTTGGGCGAGTTGCGAAGCTGGGACATATATCAGAACATTATGTGTACATATTGGTTTCCTACTTGGAGTTGGAGCACACATGCAGGAATTGCGAAGAGTAAGATCTGGTATACAGTCTGAAAAGGTTAGCGAAGCAATTTGTACATGTATTGTATATAATACATAAATATTGACAATAACATGATTTGGAATAGGATCTGGAAAAAAAGACATGCACAAGCTAGTATACATGCATGCAGACGTTCAAAATTGCATGTTTCCGAACGACTCGTGCAACTTTGGTCTTTGAAAAATCTACGATTGTGTGTTTCGTACTATCAGGCAATTCTCCGATTCGAGTTTGCCTTATCGATTCTGCATCTTCATATTTGGCATTTTAAGAAATGGACCCTCGAATTCAGATCGTCATGTTCAAATTAGTCTATACCGAAAATGTCATGATGTTTGGACATTCATGACACGAATTACGGCGTTTTGAGAATTTTGTTTTTACTATACGTTTGTATGGAATTTCCACCGAGATCTGTATATAGTGAGATGAAAAATTGATGACGTCTACTCTGATCGAAGAGTCGGAGAATTTGTACATTTTATTTCTATTGCATGGTTGTGTGTGGGTGAATTGTTTTTTAAATATTGTGTGATTGAGTCTTTTATGTGCTACTATTTTGTTTGACTTTGAAAGCTACGAAACGACTAATTGTATTAATTCTACGAGAAATTATGGTCCACGTAATACGTATTGTTTCGGATTTTGTGGACATGGAGAAAATAGACATTGAAAGAGTTTTACCTTACGGAGTGTTTTATGAATATAATTAACTTGTAACTTCTTGTAGGAAGGTATGGTGACAATGCACGATATACTTGATGCTCAATGGGTATACGACAACACCAAAGATGGTAAGGGCGCTTACGTTATGGTCAATACTGTAGTTCGTCAATTTCAGGAAATTGTAAACATATTTACATTTAATTGTTATAATATAATATAATTATGCTAATCATTGATTGTAACAGTGATAACTGATCTAGTGTATGTATAGTACAGTAACTATTGTGTGTGCAATAAACCTGCACCAACCACTATAATTTATAGAAATGTGGATAAAACTTGATGTCAAGACTATAAATTATTATAAATTTCGTATGAGTTCATCAATTCTTTATTATGGTCTACAGAATCGTACTTACGTCGAACGATCAAACCGTTGGAGGCATTGTTGACATCGCATAAACGTTTAGTTGTGAAGGACAGCGCTGTAAGTAAATACAGTAGTTTCCATTGCCACTCACAAACGTGGAAGCCCAGTGTCCACAATTAGTTGCCTGCAATAACTTATAAGAGTCTGGCTCGTGTCTGATTATGGAGTTCAGCTACAATTGGAAAGTTAGTTCGTTTTCAGGCCAGTATTTTACAAAGTCGTGAGATTTCGTGAAAAACCGTGAGATTTTAAAAATTCCCCAAGTTTTCTTATTCTTATAGATTAAATGTACCAAAAAGTCTTTATTAGCTCAAATTTTTAAAATTATGAATGTCTCTACTAACGTATGTGCTGGGACTGTGTGTAATATTGGAGGTCTTGGAACAAAATTCGTTGTCGTGATCATGACGATATGTTGCTTGCCAACATATGACCTCCTTTTGTAATTGGACATTTTTGTTCTTTAAACCTTTTTCAGCAGGGTGTTAGCCAGAAGTAAAAAAAATCTGCGTTTACCTGGAATTGGGAAATTTATTTTAGCCTAAGCCCTAAAGCCGGGCATTTCTTTGTGGGTCTGGGGGGCATGCGGTTGCCCCCCTCTCGATTTTTAAAATTGTTGTGTCTTTGAAATGGCATTTCCCGCATTTTGGGAGTAATTTTCAATGAAATATACGGTACTGGTCTATTATCAGATGTGAAAAAAATAATTGAATTTCTACAACTATTTTTTGGCTGACCCAAATTGGGAAATTGCGACCTCAAGGTAATTGGGAAAACCGCGTTTAACGCGGAATTTTTGACTGTAGCTAACACCCTGTTTTGCCATAAATTTCATGCAGATATCGCTTAATTTACTGTATAGCCTGCTATACCAATGCTTTCGTCGTTGACAAATTAATTATTTATCCAGCTATTATTCAAAGGCTTTCAAAAGGGAAGGGGCGCTCCCTACCCCCCTCCTCCGCCAACCTAGTGTTCGCAACTGCTTTAGACTTTGATAAATTGTTCATACGTCTTGTTCTTATTATTGTGACTTCAATGTTTGTTTTTATATAGGTAAATGCAATATGCTACGGTGCGAAACTTATGTTGCCTGGATTGCTTCGTTATGAATCTGGTATTGAACTCAATCAAGAAGTAGTAATGATGACAACAAAAGGAGAAGCTGTGGCTTTAGGTATTGTGATAGTTAAATTTGAGATTAAATAATGTACCGTTAAAGTGCAGGAATATATTACAGATTTATAAATACACTGTATGGCACAGTGTAGCTTTGTGTACAATCTTAGACACATGCAAGGTCTTGATAACTTGGAAATTTAGGTGAGATCACAAAACTTAATCAGAAATTGGCTTTTTGACTTTTGACCCATTCCTTTTAATGATGTTAAATTTACCCTTAAAATAATTGCTGCCTAAATACCTTGTGTTTTTTGGTGTACCATTTCGGATCATGTGATGGTTACATTTTTATCAGTCTTTTTTCTTTATGTACTTTTAAATATGAATGGAAAATGCATAAAGACAAATACTGGTAAAGGATCAAAGATGTGAACATCGCATAATCAAAAATGGGCATTTTGTACTGTACTCGAAGAGTTTTATTTGGCGTAACGCGCAATGTTGCGTCAGGATGGTAATCTATTCTAGAACCCTTCTCGACCAATTAAACATCTAATATTCTTTAATTATTTTATGTTAGGTATTGCTTTAATGACCACCTCCACCATGGCCGTCTGTGACCACGGTATTGTTGCAAAGATAAAACGAGTCATTATGGAGAGGGATTGTTATCCGCGAAAATGGGGTCTAGGCGAAAAGGTTATTAGACTATAGCATACCACATCATGTACATATTACGTCTTGAACTATAATTTGTCAAGCCGATTCCTATATAGTACAGTACATTACCTTTCGGAACAGTACAATACAGTGCAGTGTATTATTTTCAAATATCAATTTTTCAAATTGTAGGCACGTACGTTAAGTAGACGTTGCTTATAAATTAAAATAGAAATAACTTCTTACAGGCTTTACAGAAGAAGAAATTAATTGCAGCAGGGAAACTTGGCAAATATGGAAAACCAAACGAAAATACGCCACAAGAATGGCTTAAAGGACATCCTCATTTGACGTAAGACAACTTTGTAAACATTTTCCCGAATTTAATTGTGCGTATAGCGCCGTAGCATAGCAACAAGTTGAACTTCTGTACACTATACTCTACCAACGTGATACTCGGGTAGCGGAGCACTCGGAGATGAACAACCTCTTACCCAGGAGCGTAGAGAAAAGAGCCCGCGTACGAGTTTGGTGAAGAGCCGGAGTGTCAGCGACTCGGGGTGCATGGCACCGACTTTGAATTGTTGCTGGTGTGAACCAGGCTTTAATTTCGCCAGGATCAGCTTTGCAGGGATTTCTCAAATCGTTTGTTGATAATTCATGATCAAACCAGCATATTATAATACCACAGTTCGTATCGTTTTCTTGATACCACTGTTCGTATCGTTGTCTTCAATTGATACATGTACAATGTCAACTTATGAATGCTGGTTCGTTTGACAAGTTAAAGTGCACCTAATCTCAATTATTTTTATCATCTGATTCTTAAGAACTTCTCAAATTATGTATTAACAACTTATTTTGAAGATTTTTGTTTGCTCACTAATTTGCTCGTTTGCTCACTGAGATATTTCAGTTTGTCTGGTATGCAAATATCCAGAATTTACGTCACAAATGCATAATGATTTAAAGTAAAAGCTTGTATATCGTATTCACTATCGAGTTTAATTCATTAAAATGAAGTTTGGAGTTGTGGGAGGATTACATATACCTATGTAAAACACCATGTAGCCTTTTTATTTCGTGATATTTAACTGTACCTTACATTCTTTGATCAGTCATTATTCATATGTGACGTAAATTCCGGACATTTGCATGTCAATAAAACTGAAATAACTCAAAGTGTGCAAACGAAAATCTTAAAAATAAGTTAGAATATCATTTCAGAGGTTCTTAGGAATGAGATGTTAGAAGAATTGAGGTTAGGTGCACTATCAATGTCGCTTGTTATAGTGATGAAAACACACTTTTTAAACAAACTGCATTCAATAGAGAGTACAGAACAAAGTAATACATATAAAATGATATGCCTAGATAATGAGAATACTTCATTGTTAATATGGTCTTTGGAATAATGGGCATGTTTTCCTTGCCCAAAAAAATTTTGTAAAGACTTGTAAAGATTTTGAATTCAAACAAGATAAGAAAATATTGCCCTGAACTTACAAAGTAAACGGAATCTCTTATTGTTTACAGTACATTCAACTTACATACTACTTTATTATAACTCGTTTAGTGACAAGCCTGACGAGCTCCCTGTAATAAGTCCAGCCGCCGAAGAAAAACCTCCTGTATCTGCCGTTAAGGTAAGATATGTGGAGAAATACAGTATATCACAAATTGTCTGCCAGTGGGTACGCCAACATTGTGTGTTTGCGCCCAATAGAAATTATTTAAAAATATGAATGAGTAAATTAACCGGGTCTGTATAGTCGTGTTTTAGTAGATTTATTTGTGATTATATGTTCAAGGGAAGAGGTCAGGTGAATTTCCCTATATATAAATACCCCGAAATGACGTCACAATAGTTTTAGATTAGTGCCAGGTTAGGATTGGAATTACGGTTTAGGTATTAGGGTCAAGATTATTATTTTTATTATTATTATTATTAGAATTATTAGAATTAGGCACAACAAACGTGTGCCTTACAATTTCAATTAAGTTGAATTATTTGTACAGTGATTAATAAAGTTAAAATAACTAATTAAAATAGTCAAATAAACATCTATTTAAAAAGGAGCGTTTAAAACGTTCAGTTTTGATCATACAGTAGGTAGGATGAATGAGTATTTTCTTTCTCTTAAAATTCTGGATCTCCTTTCTGGGAGTAGGTTATATAAAACATGATCCGGATCTTTCACATTTTGGGTCAGCATTCTACGGATTACGAATATGAAATACACACTTTATGGATTGCATGCTATATTTAATACGGAAATTGGCTCAAGAGTTCTGTTTCTTTACAAAATATAATAATATTCGTTGTAGAGAAAGCATGATAGTGAAGCGGATTCTGAGTCAAGTGAAAGTACGCCGAAGAAAGAGCTCAAGAAAAAGGCGAAGAAAGAAAAGAAAAAAAAGAAAGCAAAATTGGATGATGATGATAATGAGGTACAGTGTAAATGCGCCCATTTCCTCTCCTGCTTTCTGCGCAATTAATCCTCTATTGGTATTAGTCCTCCTAACAGAAGATTTACAGCACGCACGGCAGATTCATTATCACGTGTTTAACTGCATATGATCAAATCCCATCTAATTGACGTAATTGTTAATTTAAAACATTCATATTGGTTCATGTGGTGAAAATACATACATGTGATTATGAATTTATTAACCATGTATATAATATTTTACACGAACTAAATTGACGTATTCATAAATTCCCTTGTCTTTCAACTTGTTTCCAAAGCCTTTTTTAGTCGATTTGTGTTCACATTTGTTAGAGTTTCATTCGCGTTAATATCCTACACAACAATTAACTAGGTTCAAGCCCTATAGGCGATTGTACTCCAATTTTTAGACCATAATAATGATTAGTTCTGTAGTTGGCAATAAATGTTTTATTTTCATTCATTTTTTGTGCATAGTCAACGAGCAAAGAAAAGAAAAAGAAGAAGAAGAAGAAGAAAGAAAAGGAACAAGAAAAAGCAGACGAATCTGATTAAATATCATATTTTATCTTTTATCACATATTTGCCACACATTTTTTTAAATGAAATATCTTCTACACGACTCTTTGCCTCGGGGTAGAATAGGCAATTCCAGCTTTTAACTTAAGCGCGCAGGGGGTGATGGGAAGTAAGGTATCATGTTGCTGATCATGCTGAAAAATTTCAATAAAAACTGCCGAAACAACCGAAATATTTCAATATTTAAAAGTATAAGCTATCACTTCGTGTTTACACGGGCACTCTTTTTATTTTTTCAGTATAGTCAGCAACATGATACCTTACTTCCCATCACCCCCTGCATGCATAAACTAAAAGCTGGAATTGCCTATAAGGGACCGGTCATTACTTATGGCGGGGGGTGGCACCGAAGAGAAATGTTTTCCGTGTCAAAAATTTTGCTGACCCAACCATTAAAAAGACAAAAATTTGATTACCCAACCTCAAATATCAATTAAAAAATAACTACCCACCCCTGGCCAAAAACTTAACAAAAGGATACCATTCAGTTGTCATACATGTCCTTTATCACTTCAGTGACATGAGTTTGATAATGGCTTGTGAAATTTTCTGCAGTCTAAAGTTTCATGTTGTCTGCACATGTACTTTCTTTGGAAACACAATTTGTTTTGTCGAACTATGGTGAAGATAGTGACTCTGATTGATTCACATATAGTATGGACAAATGACTGTTGACATTGCTTTTCAGTCTCCAATATTTCAGTGGGTCATGCTTTGGAAATGACAATAAATTTTTATTACCCAACCCTTGAGTTGTTTTGTTTTTCATTTACCCAACCTTTTACTTACTCAAAATTTTGTTTACCCAACCTTTTTCTCTTCGGTGCCACCCCTCGCCATAAATAATGACCGGTCCCTAAGATACAAGAACACTTCTGAAATGACACTTATCATGTGCGAAACTACGATACGATAGTTACTGTATGTCGATCACTACATGTTCATTTTCATAACATACTGTACATACCGATGCATAAGGTGAGCCCTCATCTCGCTAGGTGTAGTGTAGTGTAGTGTAGTGTAGTTGTAATAACAATTATAAAATAACATGTATATAACGCGTGCTCTGATTGGTCGAAACCCGTGTTTGGATCAGACCATCCAAACACGGAAGACTATCGTGTTGTTGTTATTTTATAAAACAATTACTTTATGGTTTCCCTGTTAGGATGGCCTGATCCAAACACTTGGGAATGTTGCTCGAGTTAAGAAAAGCGCGCAAAATCACTCGCCTTCGGCTCGTGTTTTCGCGCGCTTTTCTTAACTCTCGCAACATTCCCGCGTGTTTGGATCAGGCCATCCAAACACGGAAACCATAAAGTAATTGTATAATACTGCATGGGAAATTAATGAATAAACACTACAGCATTTCTTTTGTCGATTACGGAGAATGATTAGCTGCATAAATTGTGCAAATAATTAGCTGCTGCTCGACATAATTCCAGTGCAAATACGCATTCATTCATGTGGTGAAGCTATGAACTATATCTATGCTGCAGCCAGGAAAGAAACTTTGTTATTGAGTGTATAAACTACGTAAACTTACTCGGCTGCTTAAAACTTTCTAAACTATTCTCCCTATAAAGGCCAAGTAAAGGTCATCCGCCATTGACCAAGTGTTGTACAGGGGGAAGTAATTTTTTTTTTTAAGTTAGGCTATGATAAATTGGTAGACAAAGGAATAAAGCGTTATCGTTGAACGAAGTGTTAATGTCATACAGGCTCTGTAATTTGGGCTCCATTTCTCGCTTGATTTAGAAGGGCACAAAATATGAAAGCAATCAAGCCCGTTCAAACCAGGCTAACATGCATACGCCCAACAACACTAGAGTTGGTCCAACAATTTTGGGCCATGGAAATTTTGAATAAAGTCGGACCCAGTGACGGGGCCAGGCCTTAGAATTTGGGGGGGGGGCATTTGAGGGGCAAACTCATATTTGGGGGGGGGGGCAAGATAGAATTTTTAAAAAGGTACTGCTATTTGCCCATGCTGTTGTCACAGGACTTTAGACTCGCCCCCCTCTCAAAAGGGGGCAATATTCCTAGGAATACCGCCACCGGGGGACGAATATCCTAGGAATATCGCTCCCCCAGAGGGGCGAATGCCCCAGGAATATCGCCCCCCCCCCTTTAGGATATTCGCCCCCCATATATGCGATGTGGTTTATTCAAATAATTTCGTGATACTTTCATCTTATTGGTTCCTTAAGGCCCATACAGACCGGACGCTATTTGGCAACGCGACGCGAATTTTCAGTTTTCACTCATTTTCATTGTTTTTCAAATATTCGGGACCACTTAGCAATTTTAGCTATTTGGTCTGCATACCTTGTAAAATTTTTATCCGTTGACGGTTTTATTTGTTTTTGAAAACTGAAAATTCGCGTCGCGTTGCCGAATCGCGTCCGGTCTGTGTGGGCCTTTACACGTTTGAGAATTTAACTTTGCAAAACTAAAGCTTTTTTGTCTTTTTTGAAACGTATTATTGGAGTATTGGCAAGTTTTACCATTCAGAGATTTACAAACTAATATTGAAACTGTAAAAGACAGTTTGATGTATACGCGCATTCACTTGAGTAATGACAACTTATAATCCATACATTTTCCGATAACGACAAAACGCTTGTGTAGCCTTTTATAGAAGTCTGGAATGGCCATTTCCTGTGATTTCACGGCAAAATACTCCAAAGGAAGCATAAAAAAATTAGATACTTTTTTAGAAAAAAATTTGTCACTTTTTGAAATCGTATTGCCATATTTATCATATTTCACTATATATTTTCAACTCAAAAATTTAGCTAAAAATAGTCAAGTCGGTGTAAGAGAAAAATATCATGTTTTCAATACACGTCTGTAATATGATCTTTCACTTGGTCAACGTGCAATTGAGTAACTGAACAATTGTTGTAGTGCCTGTTGAATATACAACCGACTACAATGACTACATATACGGCTAGCATTCGTTAAAAAATTACTACGTTTGTTAGTAATGTTTAAAATAAACCATATTAAACGGAGTGGTATCAACTACGGACCACCGCGCTTGGTACTCTGATTGTATAATTCAGTACGCTATGCCTATGGCTATGGTATTTAATTATATAATAAAATTGCCGCAGTATTTAAACTTTAAAGTAAATATATAGTGTATTAAAATGCGGCCAAATATCTACATAAATAACATACTCTTTGTAAATCTAAATGGTAGCTATATCATTTTTAAACTCCATATAAGCGCTCGTGTTTCATGCCTCGTTTCATGCAATGCATAAAGCAGATGAACTGACAAATATAAATACGTTCATACTTTATATCAAAATACGACACAAAATACACGATCGATCGAGTCTGTTGACATGCATGTCATGAGCTAAAATATCTTAGCAGAAGCCAGAAATTATATCCAAATCACAATGGGCTTCCACGCTGGTTAATTTCCATATTCATCACTTGAGTAATCTTGACAGAGTTAGTAAAAAGTGGGTTTAATCACGCGGAATGCTCGCAAGTAAAGACAATACAAGGCCAAGTCCTGCCATTTCGAGAGAGCAGGACTTCGCATTTGTAAACAGCCGGTTTGAGCATGCGCAGATCTAATTATCCAATCAGACACCAAGATTTCTTGTATGAATTTACTATGAAATATACTAACAAGTCCTGCCATTTGAAAATGGCAGGACCGAAACACGAGCGCGTGCAGCCTAGTCGCAGTCGTTCTGAAGCAAGCGCGAGAAAAAACTGGATGTAGTACGAGACTTGGACATAGATGTGACGTCACCGCTAAAGGTGCTTCAGAACGCCTAGCAGATTTCAGTATTTTTAATATGGCGGAAAATTTATACATACAAATAACCCTGTAAATACGACAATGTTCGTTGATCATGTTCGACGTCTACATAACCAAATTGAAACTGTATTAAATATGTGCTCAATTAAAAAAAATTATATACAAATTTACGATACTGAGTCGGAGCAATGGTCGTATAATCGTTGATGTTATTTATATACTCGCAAGTTGTGATCAACACTAGACCATACTGGTATGCACAACTACGCTTTCTACTTGACAGGTTTAAGTAGCTGAGGAGATTGGAAATATTTGCCTGACATGACTGTGTTGTCAAAACATTTTTAGTCGGAGACTCGCCATAATTTTCAAGCTTCTAGATAGCATTTAATATGGCTTTATATTTTAGTAAACACGAGTCGTATTTAACCCGTTATTCCATTCTGACCGTATGGTAGCGAAACGTAGCCTACTTCATTGTTCCGACAGCATTAGAGCAAAACTAATGACTTATAATTATAAACGCAAAGGAAATTTCCATAACATTTTCAATTTACAAATGCGGTATGCTTGGTAACCTTGCCAGGGACCACATTTTGAAATCAGAGACCATTTTACCGAAATCTGCTAGGCTCTCTCGCTGAAGCGTTCCGCACAGCACACCCAGGCATAAAACGTTTAAGAGTTATTTAAATATATTAAAGCAGCGAATAGAGAGTGGCTGGGACTAGGCTGGAGCGCGTGTAAATCAATATATTGCCCGGAAATGAGCTTTTATAAAGTTGCAGTTGCTAGGTAACCGACACGGCAAGCTGTAAAATTGCGTAATGTAATAGAATACAGAAAACTTTTAAAAAATAATTTCGAAAAAGACGAGAAAATTATACAAAATAACAGTAAGATAATAATATATTTTTAATGCTTCAAGATAAATAAAGTAATGTTTTAGTAAAGAAATTTGGGGAAATTTTTAGTCCTGCTGGGCAGGACAAGCAGGACCGCTAGCTACGCCACTGGACTAAGAGTGAAAATAATATATAAACCAAAATCAAAAATCATAATACAAATCTTTCACCCAACAATAAATTCAAAACTTTATGTCTTTTGTAGGAGTAAACTTTCCCGTATTCTTCCAGAATCTGCAACACTCATCTATATTTCAATATTATTATATATCGATATATGATTATTAATAAATTGATATTATTATATTTTTCGTTGTGTCTTAGAGGAATTAACAACCTACTCAATCAGAGTTTTTGCTGTGAACAATGTGGGCATTGGAAACAGCTCTTTCCTCGTATCTGCAGAAACAGAACTACTTTCTGAACCTACTCCAACTCCAACTCCAAATCCAACTCCAAATCCAAGAACAACTGATAACGGCTCGAATACCGGGGCTATTGCAGGAGGAGTGGTTGGAGCAATACTATTTCTTATACTTCTCCTCATCATTTTCCTTTGGGTGCGAAGAAGAAACCGGATAAAAGAGCACGAAAGATCAGTGAGGGTAAAGTTGAACTTCTTGAAAAACATCGATATATTTTGCTATATTTTATTAATCAAATATTTTTTCCCAAGCAAATTAATTACATTTGCAAACATGCATCATACAGTATCTAATACATGACTGGTTCATCTATGTGTAGGTTGTGTGGTTGATATGATAGCTATAGTTACCTGTAAACTCTCAGCTAAGCACAACAAACTTTAATGTACAGAATGATTATATAGTAATCTGAATTATTCTAACATCATGTATTTCTACTATATTGTTGACGGGATCTAGAATATTAGGGATTTTTGTGAATGGAATTTGGAATGAAAATTATACATTCATACCAATTTCCATAAATGTCATGCAGCCATGCATATAACAGATCCAATCCTGTGCAAGTGTTTTTCCTACGAAGTACGCACCTCCCTACAATCCCACCGTCGGAAGAAAATGTATAATTTTGCCATTTTTGTGAAAACGAGCTGGCTAAACCCAGACAGCTGCTCCATATTTTAACTCTAAATAAACTAGTCTTTTGTTTACAATACCTTTTTTAACACGCATTTAATTTCAAACATAAATTGCACTACACTCGTAAAATTGTCATTTTTATAACTATAGCTTGTGTCTTTTTTGCGAAATGGCGAGCGCTTGTTGGAGAGATAAATATATTTTACAAACGATTCTGGAGAGGTTATTGCATGCATGGAAGGAAGATTTATTTGACAGCAGACTTTAATGGAGAATTTGCGGTAATCTCAACATTTTGTTTCAATTACTTTTTATAGTTATTCCAGTCAATGCATCCTATTGAGAACCCTATGGCGGTCTCAGAAACAAAGCCTGGGCAAGATGCAGAGCCTTTGCCCGAGAAAACAGGTCAGTTGATGTTAATCAAACTGGGGGAATATAGTATTATTATCTGTCCATATTATACTTCTGGGGCCGGTTGTATGTACTAATTATAAACACGGGATTTGTATTAAAAATCGTTGACTGGTATAACCCGGATTACTGGACTTTGTTATGTAGAAATATAGAGTTTCCTTTTCGCAATTGTGGTATCTAGTTTCGTAGTTTCATAATTTTTCAAGTTTACACTGGTAAAAAAGCACTATTCGGTGGATAGCGCTATCCGACCTTTGTATACAACTGATCAGACTCATGCTCTACTGCCCCGGTTATCAAAATTAAACTGAATTAGTCAAACTTTGGGTGAAAATTGTATCCAAGAAAAATTGAATTAGGTTTTTCTATTCTTGTTTTTCTAATATAGGCCTATGTTACAGGGTAATATTAACTAGAGACTAGCTGAAATAAATGGGAAAGAAACTATAATTCAGGGCCGTTAGCATTACAGTCCATTGCATGCCCTCGGTCATGCGCTAAACAAGCGAACCACAAGCGCGAAGACATGTTGCATTTTAATAAATAACAATTAGGCTTATATGATTGCGAACCTACTGTAACAAACTAAAGGCCTGATTCCACGAAGCGGAATTTTTCGACCGAAACGAAATTTCTCTTTGTCTTTTTACAATTAGTTCTGCTTGAGAGCTCATGAAACAAAGAGAAATTTCGATTCGGTCGAAAAATTTTGCCTAGTGGAAAACCGCCTTAAGACAGACTAACAAACTATAAACACACTAAAAACTAACACACTAAAAAACTGACGCATCGACTATATAAAGCGTACGTGCTTATAACTTCGTCTGGGCACCGGAATTGTATAACACAATGTAAAGTATAAAATAAATACATGCATATTAATGTTTTTAAACACACTATAAGACGACAAACTATTTTATTTTAGATATACCGGACGAACTTTCATATATTGTGTTATTGGAGGACTGGGAAATTGCGTCAGATAATCTGAAGTTGCTGGACAAAAAGCTGGGAGGAGGACAGTTTGGAATTGTTATGCAAGGATTATTGACAACTGCGAAAGGTGATTCTGAAGTTGTTGCTGTGAAAATGTTAAAAGGTATACATGTGTAATTAACGTACATACAAAGTGCTGATATGAATTTATGCCAATATATGATTGTAAAAAGTCGCCAAAATTAAATAATTGTTAGAATCTAAAAGCGAAGCAAATTACTCCCGTTAATGTAGCCTATAAGTTCTGTCACTAATTCTTTCATTTTAGATAGTGCAAAAGAATCTGATCTCCAGGATCTGATGACTGAACTGACTATCTTAAAAGAAGTAAACAAAGTTCCTCACCCAAATGTCATAAGATTGATTGGAGGCTGCCCAATAGGAGGTACAGACAAACAGTTTGATTTCTTACACATGCAAATGTCAAGTATTCGCCAATACTTTTATTTGCTATGAATTAAGTAAAGATCAAAGTCTTTCATGTTCTACTCCAAGTTATGTTAACAGTTTCTTTCCTGAAACCTTCCATGCACTTAATTTAATTTAAATTAAACGTTTGAAGTGGAAACATAATTAACAATCGGCCAGTTTTTATTGCCTTTGATTTCTTTGATACTATGTGCGTTGATAGATACAGGTAAAATAACCTTACAATTATTTGAAAGTTTCCAAAGAAACAACTGTATCACGGCATATATCATCGACTATATCATGGCATTCAAACGCGTTCTATATTGTCATAGATATACTTGTTATATGTACTAGATAAAACATGAGTAGCCGATCTTTATCTGATATATGCAAACTCGAGCCGAAGGCGAGAGGTTTTATATCAGATAAAGATCAGCTGCGAACGTTTTATCGTGCTTATAAAACGACCCATCTTATGAGTTCATTGGCGAAGTAATTAAAAATAAACATTGTCTAAGCCGAGAAAATCAAAGCTGAAGTTTATGTAAATCAGGACAGATCTTTATCCGATTTACAAACATTGATTAAACATTCATTTCTTTTATATTTTCCTCATGAATTATTAACAAGTTGAATATATTAATAACGTTTCGACAAATTTTAACCCCTTTGAACCCCCCGTCATCCATATTTTCCCTCCCGTATGCCTATGCGAGAAATTATGGAAAGCTCTATTACTACACTTTAGGAAAGCTACACGTGATTACGGAGCTCTGTACGGGTGGAAGTTTACGACATTTGCTAATCAACAGCAGAGTCTATCCTTCGGAGGAAAACTCATCAAACTACATCAACCTTTCGTCGACCTTGAATCATCGTCAATTGGTGAAAATTGCTGCCGATATATCCAATGGGATGGTTCATCTGTCTTCTCAAAAGGTATCTAGTAAATTTGTTAAATTTATGCCAACCTGGAATTATGACAAACTAGAACCCATTATCAGGCAAGTTAAATGTATTTTTAAATTCATGTTATAAGCCCACCCTAGAGATCATTCTTTTTTACGTAGTATACACTGCGCCTGATTTGGTGGTATTTTAGTAATTTACTTGCTGCAGTTTTAAAAATTCACAAACCACGGGGCAAACTAAAAGTTGGAATGTTTCCCAAGTAACACATGCAATCATCAATGTATTTATGCTTGCAATAAATTGTGAAGTCACCTGCAGTTAAAGGTTAGTAAGCTAGCCAATGCAGTAATTGCTCCAGATATTATATCTGCCATAGAGGGTTATGACAATTCCCATCTGCAGAGACCTCCACAAAAACCTTTATTTCACTCTGAAACACCATTTGCTTGTTATGTATAATACGGATAATTTTATTTCAATAGTTTGTTCATCGTGATTTGGCCGCAAGGAATATTCTCATTGGTGACGATAATATGGCAAAAGTATCTGATTTTGGTTTGGCAAGAGACGTTGGAGGGGCCGAGGAATACATACGGAACAATCAGGTAAATTAGCATTATTTTCTATTATTTAACAAAATATGGTAATGAACATGCAGTATCTTTAATGCCTGGTTCACACTGGTCGTAAAAATCGGGGATTTTCGTTGTCTGTGGTCATTGCTGTGTAAAAAGCTTTGTCGGTCGGAAAAGAATAAATAGATCACCGATGAATTACCACCAGTCTGAACCAGGCTAAAAGGTGATGGAAAGTCCGTTCTGCGGATATACGTTCTGCGCGCGCCTAAATTGCAATGGTCGGGACCCACCATTGAAAATTTGTTAATATTTCGCACTTTCCGAACTTTCTTGAATTGAATCTCTATCACCTGCAACGGTCAGTGTCAGTGTGGATAGTGCCAATAATAATAAAGCTTCGAATTGATACAACTACCTGAAAAATTATTTGACGTTTCGAGCAAAGGCCCTTCGTCGAATAGTTATAGTTGCGACGGCCCCGGAAGTGAGTCTACTAACTTACTGACGAAGGGCCTTTACGTCTAAGTTTTGCTTGTATTGTTTAGGTAGTTGTATCCTTATCAGTCCAAATATATCTTTTTTCTATTTATCACTATTATTTACATACGTGAAATTTTATATGAGCAAACTGCAATGATTACGCATCTGTAGTTTCCAAATAGCTATACGTCCTATACCGGCACTTTGTTTGTCAGCGCAATTTGAATTTTTGCGGGATGTATAGGGTCTTCTCGTTGCCTTAGCCTAATCCAATGTGTCGTGCTCTTCTGACTGTTATTCCAACTGTCCTGTATAGTATTAATGATGGCGCTAATCAGACGACAGCTGTGTTTTATGTGTTCACATGCAGTTCTTTTCCGCTGGGAATGTTGCCCTACGGCCACAACTGTAAGATTGAAGTACAATGATGATTGCAGCAATCAGTTCTTAATTACTATTTTCCTACCATTAAATCATCTATGAAGCTCGAAGTTACATCCTTTCCCAAAAAACACTAATTGAAGAGAAACTAGAACCAGAAATAAATACTGCATCTTTCCATGTTTATCATTTCACAACCTCCACACCTTATCACCCAAGCTTTTTCACTCCATCTCCTACTCATAGACAACACTGTTCGTCATTTCGGCACTACACCATTTGCCACAATCATAACAATATATGTCAACTAATGAGTTTGTGGGACTGGTTGACAAGATACTTTGGACACCTTTTCCCCAAGCAAATTCATGTGTGTGACATTGTAAAACCGTGTTTTTTTTAAACTATATATAACTTTGAAATCTGCTGTGTTGGTGTAATGTACTCAGGTGAATAAGATGTTTGTGTGATGTTACTCTGAGTGTATATCCACACCGGGCAGGCTTGAAAAATATGCCTGGCCGTGGCCAGGCATATTTTTCAAGCCTGCCCGGTGTGGATATACACTCAGAGTAACATCACACAAACATTATATATAACCTGTTTATTATTATTACCATAAATGAAGTAGCGGATATAATTTTATTCTTTCTAATAGAACTTACTTCCTGTAAAATGGATGGCTTTGGAAAGTCTTCTTCATGGTCGTTTCACAATTGCTAGTGATGTGTAGGTTCATGTTCACGTTATAATTCTCTCTAATATTAATTTTAACATTTGGCATCTGATAAATCCCCCCTTAGATTGGCCCCTATACGAATTAAAACCTTGCTTTTGAGAATGATCACAGCTAACCGAACAGCCCAACTTGAATTGAAATGAGATAATTGCAAAAAAGGCGTTCTGTTTTACACTTGAGTACCAGGCCATATTTATCTTCCCTCAAATGCGGATAGATGTCAATAGATGAGGGAAGGAATCAGTGAAGTGGCTCTGACACAAATCCGTCTTTTCAGCTGTATGATAGATCTATTAAAATATAGGTCATAAAACAGCTCGCTATTTACAACAGCTCTGCGAAATAAAAGAACACATCGAAAAAAGTCAGAGTACAAACAGAAAACAATTGTTTCGTTTTTCTTTCATTTTAGAAGTTGTGAGAGCACTCGACTAGCGCCTCGGTCAATTCCAACACTGTTTCATGTTCCTCTCAACTTCATGCTGCTCAATAAATTGATTAAGCACAAAAAATCCTGAAAGATTTGTTTTCTGTTCTATGTTTTTAATAAAGTTTAGATTATAATTTAATCTGCTTTATACGTGTTGTTTTTAATCATCATGCGGAAATCGAATTCTAGTTAAAAGTATTATTGTCCAGCAAATAATTCGTAAAAGAGGCATATTCAAAAACCATTTGGTATGTAAATGTTTTTTGAATATACCAAATGTTTTTTTGAATGTGCCTCTTTTACAAACTTTTTCAAACAAAGTTGCCCAGTATACTATAGTCATCTAACGCATAGAATAACCACTCAAGGTAATTTTCTAGCTAATGATTTTTATACCTTCATTGACATAGGTGGAGCTATGGTGTCCTCCTTCATGAAATTACCACTCTAGGTGAGAACAACACTACATTTATTTTATGCTGCTTGTCGCAAAGACCGCATTTATTATTCGGTTTTTATATACTTAGTATAACAGGTCCTTTGCATAACGTATTGAGAATATTCCATCGGCATTGTGTGTATTGTTACGAAAATAGGCTACTACGTCTCTTATGCCAAAATGTGACGTTAACATTTGTGACGTCATGCAGTGTACTGCAACAGCAAGGCTGCCAGGGCGTGGCATTTTTCCCCCGGACACATCTCAAGAAGGCCTCTCAAGGAGACGAAAGCCGCCCTCAAAAAGTCTTGAAAGAAGATTGCTTAATATATAGTAAAACACCGCTTCCCCGTTCAACAATTATGATGTCACAGGAGCCCATGTGGGATATGTAAGTTTCGTATTTGCAAATATTCACTGGGAACATATTATGCAGATACGAGACTTTGGTATAAGAACTACACTTTAACGATTTTCCAATTCTTTTTTGTCGTGAAAATTAAGACTTGGCAAGCACGCTCGTGCTGTCGCCAGATATTTGTTACAATACCATTTAAGATGATATATAGAACCGTAGTACTTCCCCTGACGCATCTAGTATAGTCAAGTACGCTATAAACAGTCTTTAATTGCTTTTCTAACCATGGAATATTTAGGAGAAGAACCTTATAAAAACATTTCTCCATACAATATTGTCAGCCACGTGGGATCTGGATGTCGAATGTCACAATCACCGCAATGTTCTGACGAAATGTAAGTTATTCATAGCTATGATCGAAAAGGATTAATTTTTATCAATTTTCATTCTCCAGAGTACAATGTGTAGTAACACTCAATCAGAGAACTTCCAATGTTGAATTTTGTTGCCGAGGTTTGCTTCTTTCCAGTGGAAGAAATGATACAAAATGTTTTTTTCCAGTTCATAACTTCGTCATGACGTGATGACCACTTTGCTTACTTCAACTTGTGTGCTGCAGTAATTGGCTATAGTAAATTCTTGGTTGTTGATATATACATGAGTGACTTTAGAGTTTTTGGTTCGACAATACTGAATATATAAATGTTTTGTTGTTTTAATGTGCAGACCGATGGACCCATATATTCTCATATATTTGAATTGTGCATAACTACTAGTTTTATACAGGCGATTCATTTAAGGTTATCTGTGAAAGTCAATACCTTCTGATCAGTCGAAATTAAGCGTGAAAAGGACAATGGACGTGTTTCTTTTTCTTATCAGATTGTTTATTCATCCAAGCTAATACGATATGGTTGTTATATTTTGCTAATTAATTGTGTACCTATAGTATTAATGCAAGTCGATAAAGTGAATTTAAGCCCCAAAGAAGTTATCCTAATTGAGGATGGCAACAAGCAACATTAGTCAAAAAAAGTTTAAAAAACTCATCAACTCTGCCGGTTATGCAACTGAAATTGGGTTAGAGGGGCGAATAAAATACGACAAGGGAGAAATCACGGAATCTCTTAAATTATAAATTATTGGCTTTTTACGCAAATTTAAACCAAAGCGGCTGGTAGGACTCAGAAATCGTAACTAAAGCGTCACAAGTATATGAATTACATCCTGTATATGCAAATCCATAGTGCTTTTCGCGCTTAGAGGTCGACGGTTTAATAGGACAACCTTAATTTAAGTAGCTGTATAAACGTGTATTACGAAGCATTAAGACAACGGATTCAAATTTTACGATATGGCATAATACGATATATAAAATATGAAAAGCATTTCCATTTTATATAAAATATGAAAAGCATTTCCACGTTTTAAATGTTTTAGAAACTGGCGATCGATTTTCAGTAATACAGGGTGTATCAGAAAAAAGTACACAGTTGGAAAAAGTTCAATAAAGTCAGATGCGCGCGAAATTTGCGAAAACGTTCAGTAAGCTTATGTATTTTGACGTTCTCTTGTACATCTAGCACTAAAATTATTTATAATGCTAGCGTTTTTATAGTAGGAAAGTTGTTACTAAACCCTTCCAAAAAAAGGCCTTTCGCACAAAAATTACTTACCGTGAACGCAATTTAATCACACAGTCGAAATATGGACTGTGTTGCATATACTCTATCAAAGTTTCAAGAAACTAGGGGAGGCCAACGGGAGATCCCCAAAACCTGGATTTTCTCCAATTTTCGTGTAGTTCGAACCCGATTTCTTTGCATGATTTTAAAATTAATTTTATGCATTCTCGAATGTTTATTTACCATCGTTTATTTACAAAAGTATTGACTGCAGTGTTTATTTACAAACAAAATCAATTTTCAACGTGCCCTCCATTTCCTTTTATATGTTCTACGTGCTCTCCTACGTTGAAGATTGATTTTGTTTGTGAACAAATACTGCATGTAAATAATTTTGACCTTTGGGAATCTTGCGGATTTCATGCTGTAATTTATGCAAACATTCGAGCATGTATAAAATTAATTTGAAATCATGCAAAGAAATCGCGTTTGACTAACAAAATGGGAGAAAATCCAGGTTTTGAAGATTTCGCTTCACGTTGGCCTATACGCGTTCACCAAATTTTTTGAAACTTTGATAGCTTGTCCAAGGCAGTCCATATCTTGACTCTCATGGTTGATTAAATTTTGTTTCCGATAAAAAATTTTTGTGCGCACGGCCTTTTTGGTTTTTTTTGTAACAGCTCTCCTACTCTAAAAACGCTAGCATTTTAAATAATTTTAGTGCTAGATGTACCACAGAAAGTTGAAGGACATAGGCTTACTGAAAATTTCCGTAAATGTCGCGCGCATTGGACCTAAGTGGACTTTATCCAACTGTATACTTTTTCTATACACCCTGTAGAGGTTTAGATTTGACTTCCACAACTATTAAGAGGCATTAACCAATAAAATGCGTTTGATATATATCATACTAACCAATCAGATTCATAAAAAATCAGTGAGAGGTAGCGGTAGCGTAGTGGCAGCAATATCTGAACCTCTGTAACATAACAACGACAGCCTCTTATTATAATCTCTATAATTTTCTAATATTTACTTATTAGATATGAAATAATGACAAAGTGTTGGAAAGTTGACCCAGCAGAAAGACCTACATTTGAAGATATATATGTATCTCTTCAAAATATGCTCATGGATAACGAGGTAAATACATTAATTTTAGCTACTAACAGTGTTTCAATTTTCTTTATCAAATTTATAACATTTTAATCGAAAAAAAATGTGTGTTATATATTTTTTTTGACAACATGAAAACTTGACTGTGAAGGTATATCGATATATAAAAATGACGATAAAAACGTTACTTGAGTTACATTATATATAATTGAATTATAGCTTGCTTCCCCATGCACTGATTATTTCTCTGGTTCTTCACAACTCTCACGCCTATATTTGTATAACTATTAGCCTATGTAAATAGGAAGGCACCAAGATGAATATTGACTAATTATTTTAAACTTTGATAATAGTGTAGTATTGATAAACATTATAGAAATTCTCTAACCAAGCATTCCTGAAATGTATACTCAGAAACAATGAGTGGTTCTCGCAATTATAACTGTCGAAATTTATTTCTTGCAACAATGTGCATGCACATCTCACATGCATGAGGGGCTGTTTTCAATCGAGATCTCGGCAACCGTGCCAGCCTGTTTGACCATGGTACTAATTTTTATTATAAAATCTCGCTAAACAGGGCGGCCCAGTTTTCATATCAACAGCCCCTATATATTTGATATCTAAAGGACATATTGTTACGAGCCGGTCCTTGCTAATTTATTTGGCCGCACTTTTGGTTCTATTTTCTCGCAACAAAGATTGTGAAACCAATTACTTTCAATGATATATTTATGATAAGAAGTATTAATGTATAATATATAATGTTGCAAAATATACAAAATAATAGCTATCATGTAACAATATCTTTACACTTTTAGAAATCATACATAAATATCGCACAAGTAATTGATGAAGGAACCCTTACTGAGACAATTGAGCCAAAGATTGAATCGACTAAAGATGGATCAATAAGATACACAAAAGCCTGAAGACCGAAGCACTAGACTTGCAATTGTTCAAATAGACAAAAAAATTAAAAATTTAAACAATCATTCTATTTTCGAAAAATATATTCAATGTATTTATGTGTTAGCGACCTAGAATTCAACACTATACGTAATGCGATTAATGCAGTAGTGCATGTATTCCTAAATTTTTAACAAGAGGTTCTCATTTGGAGAGGCCTTGAGAAGTATGAGCCACCAGAATCGTTTTATTCTAGGGTCTCCTAAAACGATTTTCTTAAGTTATGATTTTACTATATTGAAACAAAAAAATATTTACAGTGCTCATCGGTCAGAATACCATCTTGGACATAAGGAAAAATATCAATTAAGGTGGCTCGATACACTTATCACAAAAACCCTGCTCAAGGATTGCAAACAAAGTCGGGTAACCATTTTTACGCACATGTTGCAGAAACTGATTAACAAAATTAAGACACTTCTAAAACGACCTGACGTTGGGAGTTGCTCGCGTCATCTCACGTCATTGCGCGTGTTCTATAGCGTTTTATATCAATTGTTGACGTTATTAGAATTTTCCATTTTAAAACAACAATGCGCTATATATTTTTATTTTGTCTAGTGACCTATGTTTAAATTTTGCATGCTATATTGCACCGTTAAAAACCATCATTACATAAAAATTAAAAAAATACTTAATGCCAACAACATTTTTGCCGAAGAGTACGACATTTTCCAAAAAAATGGTATTTCTCTTTTTTTATATTTAGCTTTTCCTGCAAGTAAAATAATGCACGTGAAAAATTGGTGGTCACCATGCTTCTTTTCCGACTATATACGAGGCGATAGGCCATTTTGGACGGAATTTCGTATGTCTTCATAGCAACGAACTCTCTGTTACTAGACCTAATATAATTTGAAATTAGAGATATGAAAATATATAAAAAAACAATATTATCTGCTGAATAAATTCTACAAATACGTAGTTTGAACGTGTCAAATTGTTGAACACCTCAATTTTTGAAAAGTGTATCAAGCTACCTAACTGGTGTGACCTTAAAAATCGAATGGAAATAAATTGGAGCATGCGCATGCAGTGCATGGCGGTGTTTTAATGTGTGAAATTTGTTATATTTTGAAAGACTATTACAGTTATGTTTTTAAAAGCGACTTTCTCTGAACATCCCCCGCCTCTAATACGCACCACAATTTGGATGAAACGTACAAACAGAGCGAATTTAAAACAATCTCGTCTTATATTTAATTATTTGTAAGGATCGTATTCGATATTAATCAGCTATAATGTAATATAACCGTCTAGATATAATGTCATTGTAATATATTTTACACATATTGTATTATTGTTCCAATATACACATCCACGAACACAATTATTAATTACAATAGAATATAATTGTAGACGTTTTACCCAATACGTACTTCAAAATATAATTGGCCAGTGGTTTCTATTTTGTGTGTTTGTCATGTTAGACCTGTTGGAATACTCCGATCTGGCGGAGCTTACCGAGCCTATCTTTTGCAGTCGCTTGTCCAAATTGTGGAGGTGCAGCTGAATTCCACTTTATCGTGTTCCTGACAATTATAATAGATTTTAGTATAGGTAATCATGCGATGGCGAGTACAATTAGGGCTTAATAGTACGAGTGATGTTTGGAAATTTTTCCAAAATTGGAGGAGCCCCGGGGCGAGTCTGATCTATTGATTCCTAATTGTACGAGCAACATCGCATGATTACCTATACTTGTTTATTATTAGCATGACAAAATTGGATACTTTTCGATGTCAACATCATATTCACCTGCCAGACTTTCAACCAAAATTTGGTGCTTTTGTTCGTGTTTTCATTTAGTTCTTTTGTTAAAGCAAATTTTGATGCAATTTCATTTGTTTTAGGAAAATTATTAATTGCACTGCAGTACAATTAATGAAATAATTGTACTCTTCTCAACCAATCAGCATCCAGTAATTTTGTCATGCTAATAATAAAAATGGAAACTGGGTTGTGTAATGCTTAGTATACTGCTGTTGTATAAGTGACATCTATTTTTGATTCGTGCAGTAGCCTACACTAATTTTAAAGTTGCATTGATAGCTATTTACTCAAGCTCCACTCCTCGCTGTAATGATATACTTCCGGTTTGAGACCCCCCAAAGGGACTCGTGTTGTTGTTGTACCTATCTTTTATCAAGTATAGAATATATGTCACAATTGCCTGTGGAAACATAAAGCCCAAAGACTATTACATGGTGTCAAGTGTACACGGCAAAAAACGCTGAGCCCGCTGCTCAACAGGATTGAACAATGTTTTGCTGCCCAAGTTGTTCACACTTGTCAACAATATTGAACAATATTGTTGAATCGGGTGTAACAATATTGTTCAATATTGTTGACAACTGTGAACAATGTGGGTAGCAAAACATTGTTCAATCCTGTTTTCATCAATATTGCAACAACCTGAGCGTTTTTACTCGTGTAGAATTGCACTGAATATCGACCGTATAAGCTACAGTCATGGCTCTTAGCGGTATTGGACCTCCTGTGATGCAATGGGACGGCGAAAATTGGCGACGTTTTAAACAACATGTCGAATTAGGTAGTCAATTTATCCCGGGCGTTCTGTGACCCCCGTCCGCGATCATATCAAATCATGTCAGCGGCTTTTGACATGTTCTTTTGTGCATTTAGCTTAGTATACAAGTAACGTAAGAAAAACAAACAGATTGGGTTTGTAAGAAACTGGTGTTAAAGGGGGGGGAGGGAAAGGGAGACGGGGGGGGGCTACTGTGCTCTAATCCTGCCCTAATTTTTTTATCATGGCAAGAAACAAATTGTAGTCCTTCATGCAGAAGCTTATCATTTTTGCAATTTGAATAAAAACAGAAAGGTTCAAGATATATCCCAAATCAATAACTTTGAATTATTATATTAATTTAAAGATGCTGTAAAGTCCGTACTGTGCATCAGTTCTGCTCATAACAAAGAGGACCCGCAGATATAAACATTGCCAAAATTTTGCATCTTTCTAAATTTTCGAACTGAAACGTGGAGTTTATATAATTTACAAGCATAGCGAACCAGAAAAGTGTGAGATATTCAGTTAGTATATTAACATGTCTTACAAATATAGCAGTTCAAAAATATGTAAACAAATTGTTATACGGACTTTATATCATCTTAAAAGACGATAATTGATAAATTTGTTCTAACAAAATGAACGTCGTACTTACGAAGCAGAAAACTCGACTTTATCAATGGCACAAAGAATTCTTAGGTAGAAAGTTGAAGTTCAAACAAAATAAGAATGATTTACATTTGCAACGCTTCCGATTTCCTGCAGGTTTTGTTGTTGTTTTTAATTTATATATGCTGCTACTTTAACATGCTTTACATGAAGTTTACGGTCAGGGCTATTTCAGATCCGTCAGAGATCTTACATTGTTTGCTTTGAATAGTTTCTTCCGAATTCGAGTATATATAAGTATGAATGTGCTTTGCATGAGTTACCAACGAGTTACCAACGAGTTACCCACGAGTTACCCTAAAAATCAATATAGTTTTTACTATAATATAACGAGTTACCACCAGTTACCACCACAAAATTAGAAAAAAATAATTATTTATTTTTTTAAATTTTTAAGTGTTAACTCGTTCTATTATAGTGAAAAGTATCTTGATTTTTAGGGTAACTCGTGGGTAACTCGTTCGTTATCAAACAGTTTATTACTTATAAAGTTTATAATGCAATGTAGATAACAACATAAGTTAAATATAATTTAATCCTATTTAACTTGGCTTAAATACTGATGAGAATAATGGCATTTAAAGGACATTACACACTTAAATTGCCACAAAATGTAATATTTAATGCGTTATCCTTTTGACTAGCCTGAGTGTCAGACGAATAACGAATTATATTCGTCTGAGAACATTCGTCACTAATCTTGCCTGCTCTAATTAGCATAATTTAGCATAATTTAGCATAAATATTTGCATAATTACGTATCTGAGAAAAACAAAATGGCGTTTGCTATGAGCGACACTGAGTTACCTGTTTCGAACGACCATGTGAGCGATAATATCCTTTGGACGATTACCGCATTGCATTTCCCACAGGTTTTTTTTATATTTTAAACCGATGAGCTGCACTCTTTGTCGTGGTATAATAGAGAAAGCTTATCAGCGTTACCTGGTAGATGGAAAGGCAAAGTTCGATGTACGTGCTTCTCTCTCTGGTCTGCCTTTTGCCGTAGAAATCGACTCCGTATATATTTGTAAATCGTGTTTGGACAAGCTAAAGAAACTTGACAATCTAAAAAGACAGGAACGGGAACTGCTTGCTATACTAAAAGGGCTTGTCACTTCGAGTAAACGCGTCCTAGAAACTGGCGAAAGTTCTCTTGCCAGCTCGCCGCCAGAATCGCTTGAACGTGTTAATATAGCGAAAAGACCATGTATTGAATCTACGTTTAGACCGTTTGTAGCACCTTTATCACCTGTATCAGTGCAAACTGGTTGTTGGTCGTCGATTCCTAGTGTAGAAAGCCCTTCTTCATCGCGTGATAGCTCGGTTGTTCACCATTCGACACCAAGTAAACAGCCAGACACATTCCCAACAAGCTCACGACAATCTGGTGTTGTAACTGTAAAGTTACAGTGGTCAAATGATAAAAAAGAAAGAGGTTTACCAGATGACTTGCAGTCTTTGGGTAAAATGCTTGTTCGCGGTACTTACAAGCAAATAGCAAATGCTGCATGGAAAAGTGCTGCTCTTCGCAAACAACTACAGATTGTAGCATTAAAACAGATTGATTCAGAATGCAATGGGTTGTGTTCGACAAAACAACCAAGCTGTTTGAGATCCCCCAATAAGGACAAATTGCTGGACTTTTCACTTGAAAAATTCGAGGAGGAGCTGGAGAAAAGGGCACCATTCACCCATGCTATCTTAGAAACAGCATGTGTTAACAGAAGGAACCACAATATAAGGGGCGAATGGGTCCCAACCGTTGGTATGGCAGCAGCAGTTCTCTTGAGAAACCGTTCTTCTCGTATGAATGCAGTGCAGTTAATGCTGAGCATATTTTTGTATCATTCAAGTTGGTCGGTAAGTGTTTTTCATTGTATGGTACCTAACTATATATACAGATTGTTTATGAAATTGAGCAGGACCTTAGGTTATGTGTAGTTAGGGTCATGGCAGTGTGTGGGTTATGCAACAATCACTATGCCTAATATTCTACATTTGCCCCAATATGATTGTTGTTTAGTACCATACTCCAGTCTCCGGTAGACCAGTAATATTTTAACAACAAAAATTTCGGTTGGTAGGGATGCAACGTTACTACCTGAAAAAACAAGGAGACATTAGACATTTCGAGCGAAGGCCCTTCACATTAGCTTTACATTTCAAAAATGTGTTAGACTATTATTACATGTATAACTAAACTATTTATTATAAAAGCTTACTGTACATTGATTATCTGTATATTTTTACTTAGCCTACAATGAAAAGATTGAAAATCTTGCGTCTGGTTGTCTCGCATACACAGCTGTACAGGAAGCTCACTGAATTTGGGCAGGATTATGATCATTCAGTTAAAATAATGAAGGAGCAAGAACGTGAGTGGATGGAATCAAAGCGGACAGTGTCAGTCTCGGAAGCAAGGGATGCTGATGATGATCAAGGATCCAGTACTGACAGTGACCAAAGTTCTTCATCAGGTGAGGACTCACCCAAACCCAAAACATCCTCGAAAGCTCAACCCACTGGTCAAAAGATCACTATTGATAATATTGATTACCGCCAAGAGGTTCATCATATGACCCAAGATCACCAGACAATAGATAAACACTACTTGACTGTTTGTGCCACTGAAAATCGAGTTAGTGGTAATCATTTAGGCACTAATCAGCCAGATGGTATTAAGCTCGAAAGTCTCGAGAATGGAAAATGTATTCCAAGTTCTAGGGAACAAATTCTACAAAGAGAAGATTATATAAAACTTACAGAAAGAGCCCTTGTGAAGAATCTTCCTTGTCTGCAGTCATTCAAAGATGTGGTTGTAACCCATATTCCTCATATGTACAGTAAAGAAGCCAAACAACCTACACAATCAGTAAGCAATTATAATACGTACATTACTAGCAGTTTATTAGCCTGATAATGCAATCTGTCCTCATCGTACCAAATTGCAAACGATAAGGTATATAATTTTGAAATATTGACGATATAATATTTCATGTACATCTGTGACTGACTCCAGGGGCTGGTTGTTCAAAAGCCAATTATCTTAAACCCTAGGTTAGTCTAAAATTCAAAGCAAACTTCCCAACAACTTGTTTACAAAATTGGAAATATTTCTTCATAAGTCTTGTATGGGTCAATGAGATTGAGAGTTTTCTTTTATGAAGATTTGAAACAAACAGATGTGCAGAAATACACAAACCAAAACAGCAGGTAAAATTTTAACCCGGGGTTAGCGCTAATCCAACTTTGAATAACCGGCCAACATCGATAATTAAGTCACAACTACACTGTTTTCAAATTTCAAATTTGTTTCTCACAGGCATTCTTCAACACAATCATAAAAAAGAATTTTGGATTTTGACCAATAAATGTGCAAATAAGCTTTAACATGAAAACGAGGCTCCCACGCTGGATCCCTGGAGCCTCGTTTTCATGTTAAAGCTTATTTGCACAGTTATTGGTCAAAGTCCAAAATTCTTTTTCATAATTGTGTTGAAAAATGATGTTCTGCTTCTCTCCCCATAGCCCGTGAGAAATAAATTTGAAATCCATTCCATTTAAGGTGGTCCTAAGATGTGATGTAATTATCGAAAGGGTGTATTGCAGTAGGTGTCCAACTGTAGCTTTGCCAAATATTGCAGTGACATATAACAACTGGCTGGATATCTAGGAGAACAGTTTACAGTTGATATGTCAGTATAGCTTGTTGGTATATACAAGTAAATTTTAAATTAAATATATGATATCTTTTTCAAGACATTTCTTGGAGTGATATACCAGAATGAGAATGAGGCTGAAGGAATCACAACCATTTTGAAGGAACTACATAAATACGTTCCATATGTTGGAAGTTCTAAAAATCGTGAGTATGCTGATCAGGCAATTGTTGGAGACCAGTTAACAGTCGAGCGTGCTGTTAATGCACACAACACTCTCAACAATGGATTTACTCCTAAGCAGAGACTGGATGGTCTACATTTTGAGTTTGCTGATTGGCATGGAGTCAATAAATGCTTAGACGTGAGTATATAGTCAACCATAGATCTGTAACATCCACCCCCAAGTCAGAAAATGTGAGTGTGTCGATCTGACTCAGTCTGTTTGGTTTTTCGTTGTTTGCAACCACATGAATTTAGGGAGCATTCATTTTTTAGCTGGGGGGGTGGGCCGGAGGAATTTGGGGGTGGCTCAGCCAATTTTGACATGCTTCAAAGGGGTGGGTCTTTTTATAGTTTTGTTATAAATGGAGGGGGTCATAAAAATAATCCGTGAAAAAATCACCAATATGATTTTATAGAATTTGGAAATATTTGGATCAAGAATGGTAAAAAGGTCTAGAATCTATCAACTATCTTGTCATCTATAACAATGAAGCAAAATTCATTTGACGCTCTGTTCACACAGTCCATAGGAAAACATTTGCATGACGTTTGTCAATTGACCTCGTTTTTGTGTGAAAACATCAATGAAAAAAACGCAGGACCGTAGCATGATTTTGAAATCATGCCGGCATGATTTCAAGGTCTGCATGACTTCAAAATCATGCAGAACTTGATCAATTTTAAGCTTTATTAATTTTAAGCGGCTACATTATCCATGAAAAACTGCAAAGAATGAAGATAGTACCCACAGTTTCCTGCAACTTATCCTAGTTATCCAACATATAGTAAATTAAATACGCCTTCGCTCATTTAGTACTACCAAATTGTCAATTTTGACATACTAAAACGCTGTTTTCTGACCATCAGAATTCTGTCAAATCTTCCCCCAAAGGCCAGGAAATGGCATTTCAGAGACTCTAGATTTAAAAATTTCCTCGGGCTTTCGGCCCTCGCTTTCAGCCCCCCAATCAAAAAGAGCTTCCTACGGCCCTGAAACGCTATGGAAACGACACTGTGTGGATTAATAGTTAGGATGAGGGGTCAAAAAATTTTCAGTAAAAAAAATAGGGGGCCATAATTTCTTATCAACTTTTGTCTTGGGGGTTCCAAGTTTTCGCATGATATTAGACATCAGTTCCTCCGGCCCACCCCCCCAGCTAAAAAATGAATGCTCCCTTAGTATAAGATTATGTGATTGCAAACAAAGAGTACCACAGTTCTTATAGTTAATTTAAAATCATGCTCAATCTATCGTTTTCTCCACTAATATGAATGAGCTTAGGTCTAAAAATAAATTGTCAGGTTCCGGTTTCCCAACCGACTCTATCATGTAACAATGTACCCTACTTTTTTCAATTTATTGGGGAAAATGGTAAACAAAGACATGTCAATGATGGCATTTTGGTTCCCAAAACCAAGCATATTGTTAAATAAAAAAAATAAAAAATCCCAACTCTGTGCTGACCCTATTTTATTTTAGCATGAACCAGAATCAAATAATTTCTGTTCAGACCTCACACATATAATTTCTAAAAGTACATTTTATTGTTATAGGTTGCATTTTCACGATTGTATAGTACAGCTTCAGCTAATGACAAGTGCACACTGTATAGTGATCGTAACTTGATCAACCGAAGAAATGTTAAGGCTGATGTGCAATCCAATGCAAATGCATGTCGAAGATTCTTTGCTATGGAAGTTGAAGCTAGATTGGTTGCTGCTGGGGCACTAGAGCTGGGTTTAGAAGACATCAATGAAACATCTGAAGCATCAAATTTATCCAACCCATCATCTTTAACAACGAAGAAGAAAAAAGAGATCCTACGAAACCTTTCCACCACCATAGTTGATCGATACATCCTGGATCAGGAAAAACACAATGCTCTTGTGACAGCCTGCAAAGAGATGGACGTTCAGCAAAGTGAGTCAAGAACACATGTTAATAAAGACGGGCGATACATGTGTCGCTTTCAAGGCTGCTCAGTATCATTTGCTAAAGATGGTCAGTGCAGACAGACCCACGAATTAAAGCATAACCCCCCTGTCATTATTCCCAAAGAACCAATTACAACCTATTTCAATGATAATCCTGAAGAAGCTGATGATATGCTGAACCATCAGAAATCCCTGATGGAATTAGGAATGCTAATTGCCAATTTGAGAGATGCAATCTCTGAAGGTAAATAAAGTACTATTTAAAACACGAGCAGGAGTGCTTTAATTATCAGATATAAAACACAAGAGCGCAGCTCGAGTGTTTTATATCTGATAAAGCACAGACTGCGAGCGTTTTAAATGGATTAAAAACGACCCATCTAAAGAGTTCGTTGGCGAAGTAATTTTAAAAATAAACTTTTAAGCCAAGAAAATCAAAGCTAAAGTTTATGTAAATGAACAGGATTTTTATCACATATAAAACCACTGACACAGCAGTGATTTCCTTTGTCTTTTTCTCATGAATTATTAATGAGTTTTTAAGTATAGCATAGCATAGTATATAGTATAGTATAGTATAGTATATAGTATAGTATAGTATAGTATACAAATAATGAATGTTTATGAGTGCAATGGTAAGAATATTTTCATGAGGTGAAAGATGGAATGTTCCATTCAACGAGGCGACAGCCGAGTTGAATGGAACATTCCATCCAGATGATCTTGATACGCGGAAAAGTACTGGCACTAGTTGTCAAATAGAAATCCATTTTATGATTAAAACAACTGAATATCTCCTGTAATATACTTTATTTCGATTCCATATTTTTGTCAGAGCTATAGTTCTCATAACCAAACATAATTACAAAATTTCAACTAGTTTCATAAAGAATAACGAAAGATATAAATGACTGAATACATCAAAAAGGATTTCTATCCGGACAACCCTTTCTGAGCGCTGATTGGCTAAAATACGAACACGAGATCACCTGGATCTTTAACCGAATGAAAATATTCTTACCATTGCACGAAGAAACATTCATTATTTGTTTTATATAATACCAAAATAGACTAATAGATTCGTATGAGAAGCATTTTGAGGGATGCGATTTATCGAAAACACAAAGAGTGCAATTGTACTATACGTTTTATTCCATTGCACTCGCGGAGAGTGCAATGGAACGTGTTCCATTGCACTCTTGGGAAATGGAATTTTTTATTCAATATCATGTGACCATAAACAGCCAATTAAATGATTAGAATTTAATAAGGTATTATATAATATAGTATAATGTTAATAAAAAGTTTTATGTATTCAATTTCATTGAGTTATATTATATTTACATTTATTTGCACCAGGTGATGGCCTAAGGGTAATTCGGTGTTGGAAATTTCTTCTGCTCTACCTGAAACACGACTCTGGTAGCCAGAAATACTCAGTAGAGGTGCTTTACCTGATGTTCCAAATTTATGCTTTGTTATCTCCCCGTTCAGCACACCAACTAATTTGGAACAGGTTCATAAAGTCAAAGGTGGGATCAGCAAATATATCTCTTGATCTGAATCTTGAATTCCTAAACAGAATCGTAAAAGAAGCAATTAAGAAACTTGGTCCAAATGGAAGCAAGAAATCGATTGATCGAATCTGTCGCAGCATGAAAACAACCAAAGCCCTCATGGAAAACTTCGACGCAGAAGTAAAAAGCTACAAACCATCAGGAAAGCATGTACCAAAATCTTCCGCTAAAGATCTTCAAACGATTGTCAAGGAGTTACTACATCAACAGGCTCTGGTCAGAGTACCTGGGAGGTCTTATAGCTTTTATGGGGGGGTTAAATCTAGCTTGTTAGCTGGATTTGCTTTGCAAAAGATGTATCATTGGATAGATGAACACAAGAAAAATATTATACTGCAAAGAAGGGCTAGATGATAGAAATAGCATCCTTGCAGACAATAGCATGCATACTGTAAGATAAGACTTTGGTACTAAATAATACTGGGATTTCCATTTCATGTTAAGCATTGACTTCATATTAGTCATTTACAGTTATTAATGAACTGAAATGACATTTGGTGCACCCAGGCCTTCCCAAGAAAGGTGTGTAATCATACACACACACACACACCACTAAGTTTGGCATGGCACTCCTGTCCTTAATATTATCATTATAAAACTTTGCAGCCAATGGCTGAAATGAGTCAAATATTACAATATTAGTACTAACTATTGATTTACAACTAAGGATGATAAAACTATTTATAAGATAAAACTACAGTTAAAACTGTGCAGTTAGTAAAAGTAATTACATAGGGCCAAGTAAAATTAATGTTTACTCCCTTGTTAGTTAGTTTCACACATGTTTTCAAAGTTTCACAAAATTGCAAGCTAGAGTAAGAATTATTAAAGTGCCTATATCATGGTTTTGGAGTTTGCATATCTCGAAAGTTTAGGGTATTTTAAGACACTTTGCAATATATTTTGTTATTCAAAATTTCATCTTGATGCATTTATTAGCTATTAAAGTTACCGGACATGACGTCAAAAGGAGAATTGCAAATCAGTTTTCCTTTGTATTATTGCAACAAACTTCTCCTTTTGACGTCATGTCCGGTAACTTTAAGAGCTAATAAATCCATGAAGATGAAATTTTTCAAAAACAAAATATATTGCAAAGTGTCTTAAAATACCCTAAAACCAAAACCATGATATAGGCACTTTAAAAACCTTGTCCATTGGGAATGAAAAAAAGATTATTGTAAATATTATTGGGAAAGCCTAAGTGCACTTGTCAAGTATGTAGTATTACTGTACTGTGTTATATAGCAAAGTTAGTAATAGTTACCTTCATGAAAATGTTCTTGCTGAGTACAGTACAGTAGTTCAATTAAAGGTTCACATTACAGAAAAAACTGCTCTTATTTAATGACCCTTCTCCAGTTTCATCTTGGGTGCCATCATCCATGTCTTCATCCTGTGAATCCATCATTGAAAACAAACTTGAGTCATCATTAATTTCATCCCAATCCATAGTGCCAAATAGTTCTTCACACATTGAGTCAGACAAATCTGGAATATTACCAATGTCACCAAACACCTCATCAAGAACTTTTAATACTCCACATGCATGTTGTTCACGCCACACTTCAACATACTTCTTAACATCACAAATAGTAAATATTTTGTTACTGTTTTCAATAACACTAACGATTTGTGTATTCCCAAATTCAAGTAGAACAGTTGGTAATGACACTGTGTTACTCAATTGTTGTGTTTGTTCTTTTATTAGACGATTCCTAAAATCTTTCAACTTGGCTTTTAAAAGATTTTTCTGCTCATGACTGACAGGTCTTGTTTTTCCAGTGTTTTCATCTGAGGTCATAGTCTTTGAGTCTGGAATATTTAGTCCAATGTTTGACTTACAATCATCTTCACCACATTCACATGCGATTGCACAATTGTCACAACAACTGTGTCTATTTGATGCAACATGCTGGTATCCAAATGCTTTCATGAGCAATTCTCTTCTGCATGTCTTGTCACTACGAAGAAACTCCTTCATGTCTTGTGTACAATGTGTAGAAAGCAGGCCATTAAACAATAATATACACTTACTTTGGCACCCATCCCTTCCTGCACGCCCACTTTCCTGGATATAACATTCAATATTCTTA